AATATTTATTGCCATAGAATAGAAATATTCTTAAATTGCCTGAAATATTGTGTGGCTGCTAGAGTAGACAAATGTTACCTTTTGCTTTTTAGCATCTGCATACAGATTATTAATAGGCATATTTTGTGACCAGTGAACTACTAGGCAAGGACATACACACTTGAGTTTGATCAGTAGAAATGCTATGCCATGTTTATGTGGGATTTATGTAGTTGATGTAGAGTATAAATTGTACATAGAAGATAAATACAACATTTTTGAATATGCAATTACTGTTATTTTTGGAAATATATTTTCATTCAAAAGTAGAATTATTGTTTGCCAAAGGAGTTAGCATGTTTGTTCTTCTGAGGTTTGATTTTGAGGGTCTTTTGGGTTTTGGGTTCTGAAGTTTTAAAAAATGAGATAGTCTTTTTCTAAAACGTTTTTATATGAAAATGTACATTTTAATTTTTTTTCTTCCAATCTAATTGGTGGCTTGTCCCTTCCTGTGTTTATTGGGCTGTTGGGTGCTTGGATAGAGCTGGAGAGCATTTGACTGCTGTGTGAATAATAGATAAGCATCTTGAATAACATCTGAATTTCCTAGGTATGTAGAAACACCCACCGTACACATACATGAAGATGTATAATACATGAATGTTAAAGTGTGATTGAAAATGATCTTTTACCAATAGAAGTGTTAACCTTTATTTTGTTTTTTAATTTGGTGTTTATGTAGAGGTTTATTTGATTGTTGATATGTCCATGTATATAATATGTCATCTACCTTTATAAATGTGTAGAAATTTGTTATATTTAGTGGATATATTTTACCTAAAAATATAGGTCAGAAGCTTTTTATGTTTGCTGAAGTGAAGTGGGATACCAAACCTGTATGGTAGAGTGGGATTTTTAGATTGCTGTGTGTAGAGTCAGGTTCTATCTTTATAATCTATTCTTTTTCTATTAATACATAGACATTGCTGATGAATATATTTTTAAAAATCATTAATATAGGCATTAGCTTCCTGATTGACTTGTTTGTTGGGAGGCACATGGATAAGGATGTTGAATACTTTGTCATTTCATATCTGTAATGTACAGTTGTCACGTCGACCCTCCTACCTCCGGGGTTTTCATCTGCCAGCAAATGCAGCTGGAAAGTACAGCATTGGCAGAATCCGAAATCTGGTTAAACAGCACCCCATTGTCATTACCATAGGTTCCGTAGAGCTGACTGAGGGAGTGAGATGTGCTGATTTTGGTATGGGGGTGCGGTACAGGTACCAATCCCCCTCCATGGATATTGCCAGACAACTTTGCAGTCCTCTTTAGTTTTTTGTTGTTGTTGTTTTATAGATAGTGTAGACATAAATATATTCCAAGCATCACTTTGTTAAACTTTGCTTAGCCCCGCAAATGATTTTAAAAGCCCTGTATGGGTGGCTCTCTTGGGGTTACCATTAAATAGCTGTGTTTATCATAGTTGTTCCATAACATTTCAATTTTGTAAATACATAGTTTGTTGATAAAGAGGAGAGACACATTTTTCTTTTGGAATTGTTCTTTTCACTTTTTGTAGTCTTCATTGCATTGCTGGTATTGTAAAAGACAAATTACTTGCACATATTTAAGCTTATGTATTAAATGTGTATATGCAGTCATGTTAGAAAAGGAGAAGATAGACTAGTTTCCCCCCACACGTTTAAAAGTAAAATTTAACTTTAATTAATTAAATTGTTTGGGTCAGTTTCATATAAAAGTAACCTCTCTATTGAAAGGTATGTCTTATTTTCCTGGGTGTACTGAGGTTCATGATGCAATTCATTTTTCTTAAGAACATACCATAGATTCTTATTATATAGTTTTGTTCATTTTTTGGCATGGCAATAACCAAGACATTTTTGTAAATAATAAGCAAATGAAATATTTAATTTTAAACATCTAGTATTTCTAGATGTATAGAAAGTCTGACAAAGTATGAATTTTTTAAGTATCTTATTTAAATTTGTTAGTACTATTGTCTTTTGCAACTAATGTGGCAGTGAAATTGATTATTGATACCCAGGACCTTGGAGATAAACAAAATTTATCAAGTTTTCATTTGGATATTAGAAGGAGGAAATGACAAGACTCTCTGCATTTTACCCATTCTTATATAGTTTACCATTATATCATATATGAATTGCGTATTTTTAAAAACGTAGATGAAGTCTGGGTGAGGTGGCTGACGCCACTAATCCCAGCACTTTGGGAGGCCAGGGCAGAAGAATGGCTTGAATCTAGGAGGCAGAGGTTGCAGTGAGCCGACATTGTGCCACTGCACTCCAGCCTGAAGAATAGAGTGAGACTGCATCTCAAAATAAATAAATAAAATAGAAAACTTACATGAAATGTCATGTAAATGCATTTGGTCTTTCCAGATGTACTTCTTGATACCATAATTTTTCTGTTATTGTTTAAGATACAAACGACTTCATTAAAGAGATTTTCTACTACCTCTAGGAACTATACAAAATTCTGTATGTGTTCCCATGGTTGCATGACAATATTCAAGACAACTTTGTAAATAATAGATAAAAAATTTGACATCTAGTCTTTTTAGATGTGTAGGGTCTCACAAAGTACAATTTTGTAAATAACTCATTGTAAAATTTCATGGTTTCATTGTGTTTTGCAAATGTCTTGGCAATGAACCCGATAACATTTTGGGTTTCCTGACATATTTTGGTATCTATTGGGTTGTTAGTGTAAGGAAAAAGTTAAAAGTGCGTATTTTCAACTTTGAATTGTAATCAGAAAAGATACTTTAACCATCGTTTAGTGCTTCTATTATATTTTTAAAACTTCAGTCTTAATTTTGTAGGGATATTGTTGATAGGGCATTATATAAATAGACTTTTATCGTCAGTGTAGGAAATGTCTTTTATAAGGAAAAATTCTACCTCTTTGAATAACACAGTTTTGTATTTAGTTGGACTGCATGACAGACAAAATAACATACAAATGTCATTTTCTAAAGATCTAGGTTTGCTAGACGCATGGAGTCTCAACAAAGTATAAATTTATAAATAATTTCATTGTAAAGTATCATAATCAACTCCTTCGCGTTTTCAGTAGTACAATAGATAATCAATAATTGGCCCTCTTGGGATTTACTGTGTAACATTTTGATGTTTGTGCGTTTTGAGAGGGAATAGTAGATTGCCTCCATATCTTTTGAATGTTAGGGTCTCTTGTATAAGAAAAATAACCATTGATTTTTTGTATGTGCATTGTATACTGCTAACAAAGAAACAAAACCCCCTGGATATTTCATCTTTAGAAAGACAGAGGAAGACTTGAGAAGAGAATGATCATTATAAATTAAATAGATGTATTGAGTGTTAGAAAATTATTTAAATAATTGTTCTTTTGTTATTTGTACTCCTTGCAAATTTATTTGAATTCATATCCATATATATCATAAATATACACATGCACATCCAAATTTAGTGGCATAGATCTGATATATCTCAAGGGTATTAATCTTTCACTCATTTACTGATTAGTGCTTTCATTTAAAAAATTGTGGAACTGCCAGGTGTAGTGGCTCATGCCTATAATTGCAGCACTTTGGGAGGCTGAGGCGGGCAGATCACAAGGTCAAGAGACCAGCCGGTCCAACATGGTGAAACCCCATCTCTACTAAAAAATGCAAAAAGCAGCTGGGCATGGTGGCATCCACTCAGCTAAATTAGGAGGCTGAGACAGGAGAATCACTTGAACCTGGAAGGCAGAGGTTGCAGTGAGCCAAGATTACACCGCTGCACTTCAGCCTGGCGACAGAATGAGACTCTGTCTCAAAAGAAAAAGAAAAGTTCTGGAGCTAGTGGCTGGGTGTGGCAGCTCACGCCTATAATACCAGCACTGTGGGAGGCTAAGGTGGGTGGATCACCTGAGGCCAGTAGTTTGAGATCAGCCTGGCTAACATGGTGAAACCCCGTCTCTACTAAAATTACAAAAATTAGCCAGGCATGGTGAGGGGCCCCTGTAATCCCAGCTACTTGGGAAGCTGAGACAGGAGAATCGCTTGAACCCCGGGAGGGGCGCAGGTTCCAGCCAGCTGAGATCATGCCATTGCACTCCAGGCCAGGCAACAAGAGCAAAACGCCATATCAAAAAACAAACTATGGAACTATTGCTCTATTTCTAAGCTTGCAGATATTTCTAGCATTCCACTGACGTTACATCTAAATGTATGCTGATTTTTCATTAAATAGTAAGCAGGTCTATAACTTTTCTAATCTCTTTCCATATTTACATGAGTTTGAGAAAACTGGTTATGAATATTTTTTATTTTTGTGAAAGCTTTTAAAAACTATCAGATATATGATAATCATAGATTTCAAGTTTACAATGTAAATTAGGAAAATTTTTATAAAGGTTCTATCCAGTATTAGATAGAATATTGGATATATCAAAAGTATACATTTTTGTGTCTTTTTAAGCAGACATTTGGCAATGACAAATTGATACTTTGTAAAAGTTCTGAAGTGTTATAGCTGGCTACTGGGATTTTATCTATTCCAGTTCTCAAAAATTTACTAAATATGTTATAGGTTAGCTATAAAATCATAAATATCTGAGATACCTGTCAATAATGAAAGAGTGCAGTTATTGTAGCTTCTTTAATATGAATGTAATTCTAACACTAAACAATTTCTATATGGAATATGTTTTGTACTGCTGAACTGGTATTTTATGTCATGTTTCAGTGAACAACTAGTTGTTTACAGAGGTCTTTGCATATGTTTCTAGTTTTTATAACTGAAATATTAAAGGTTAATTATAAAAGTAATGAATTACACTTGCAGCTTGTCATTCTGACATTTAATATGTGTTGTGATAATGGTGATTAGTTAAATATGCTTTGAAATTGTAACATATGAGTTTAAAATCAAAAGATTGTATATGGATGTATTTATATATTGCTACATGACAAAAATCTAGAAAATAATATGAAAATTGTTTGGAAGGACATGACAGAGTTTTAACAGTCCTCTGTGGAGAAGGGAGAATAGAAGGACGACTTCAACTTTTTGTACCTGAAATTTTCAAAAGATATTTCAAAATGGACATTTAAACAACAGTAAATTTTAAAGAGACAACCAGTTTGTGCCTGTCTGTATCCTTGACATTCAACATCCTAGGAACAGTGGGCTGTAGTATTCAACTTCTTATTCCCAACAGCCGTTATGAACAGTTTTTGATTGATCTCACAAAGAGCATGTGATTTAGATAGTAATGCAGCTACTACCATGAAACAGTATTGGATTACCAAAGGAAAGAAGCAGAAGATGGAATTTGAGGTAGGTGTAAAATAGTAAAATTTGGGGTGAGAAGCAAGTGACTAAAAGGAGATACTAACTGAAACATTCTATAAGGAGACTAAATTTTCATAGTGGCAATGCTGTATTTGTGTATACTGACTAGATCAAGATGTTGGAGGTGGTATCTCTAGGGATGAGGTGGAAGTTATCCTTCATTATCTTAGTATAAACTGAAAAAAGATTGCTTCCTCCCTTTTAAAGTGGTTGAGTAGGCCTTTGGAGATTTATAGGTAATTCAAAATTAGCAGGGATGAATTTTAAATATTGTAAGAATTTTTCTAAAAGCTGTGGTTTTAAAGTTAGTGAGAAAGTGAAATGGTTGCTGGTGTACTTGATTTTCTCTATTCACTATGCCTGGCTAGCCTATAATTATCCTAAGGCTATGTTCTGGTGCCTGATTTGTATCTAAATGTTTCTGTTTTGGATATTGTTTTTCTTAGGTAATCAGGATGAATGAAAGACTTATTTGCAGCTAACCTGCGAGTATTCAGGAACATCCATTTCTCATGGAGTCCCTTAATTTACAAGTTAACTGAAAACATAGGTAAGAAGATTCTGGTACTATTTGGTGATGAGGTTTTGCCTGAGCTGAGGAAAATAATACTGGTACAGGGGTGTTTTGGGGGCACCTTGGAATTATCAAATGCGTTAGCCTTTAAAATACATTTTATTCAAGTGTAGGTATAGATTGGTTGCCAGACCAAAGTGAGGGTCAGGCTGCTGTTTCTCATGGCCCAATAACAAGATGCAGATGAACTGGGGAGGAAGAGACTTTTTATTTCTGCAGCTGGTTATAGGAAGAAGACCTGGAAATGGTTGCCACACCAACTCAAAATTACGAAGTTTTCCAGAGCTTATATACCTTCTAAGCTCTATGTCTGTGTAAATGTGTATTCATCTGAAGACATAAGTAATCTATAACTAAGGTCTGAGTCTTGGAGACCTTCCTCTGGAGCCTCAGTAAATTTACGTAATCTAGGTGGGTCCAAGTGCTGAGGTGATTACCCTTATCTTGTCTCCTACTAAATCATGGAGGTGTGGGGAGTTCCTTCAGACCCCCAATAAACTTGTTTGTGGAGGCCTGGAAAGTTTCTTCAGACCCCCAATAAAACTTGTTTAATCATGCTTTAAGGTTCAAGAAAGGCCTACTCAAAATTTGGTGGGTCTTTGTGATATTCCAGCCTTTATGTAAGGGAAATGACTCAGCTTTTAGTATTTAACTTAAGAAACAGTTGTTATGGAGACCTGTCCTGCCACAGGTGCGTGCAGAGACACAGACACAAATACATAGTGAGAATACCTTTAATTAGTTTACTTATTTATGGTCAAATACGACAGTATAACTAATAATGGAAATGACCAGGTGTCAAATACTGGAAATTATAAAATTGACAATATATGTATTTTCATAAATGCACAGTTTTCACAAAATGTTTTCACATACAGTCCTTTGATACAATAAAGGGTGAAGTTCATGGAAATCATGAAAAGATGCTGCTACTGAAAATTATCAAATTCATTACTGATGTTGTAGAGTAGACTTTGCTATAGGATTGATAATGAGGAAGTATTTCTAAATGTTAACCTGTAATAAAATTCAACATGAGCATTCACTTAACCTGCCACCTTAGCTGTTTCATTAGAGTGGTATATATCTCACCTTACAGTGTTTCTTCTTTTTCCTTGTCAGGAGATGGTAGTTTCAAGAAGGAATATTTTATCATCTTTGTTTTTAATCTCAAGAATGATACCTACCATCAGTGAATGACCTGTTGCAGTGCTTTCATTGAAGCATTCTTCATTCCTTCAGCAATATGATTGTAAGGGCAGTTGAGTGCTAACTTGATTGGGAGAGGGGCAGTTTGCCTAGACAGGACTTGATATATCCTGTTTTTCATAAGCTTGATGATTTTTTGTAGCAGTTAGTTGACATCCAGATCTGATTTGGGTAACATGTTGCTATGTAAGAAACTTCTTGAAACAGGTGCATAAAACAATACTATTATGTCCATGGATTTCGTTGCTCTGATTATGCCCAGGACAGTTTAGGAATTGTATCTTCTCCAAAGTCTCATTGTAAACTCTGTGTTTTTTAGTATAGTTACTATTTCTTTCTCATCAAATAGGCTGAATTCTTTTTGTTATTATCATTTGAATATTTAGGCATTGCTATCAATGTTTATTGTGCAGAAATGCACGTATACTGCATGTAATAATTCTGTATGTCAGCAAGTGACCTAGAGGTAAAAGGAATCCAAATACAAAGACATCATGTGGATAATGTTGGACAGGTCAGTTTTTCACAAGACATAGGAAGGAAAGAGGCCAAGCATGGTGGCTCATGACTGTAATTCCAGTGCGAGGTCCAGGTGGGTGGGTCATGAGGAGGAGTTCAAGACCAGCCTGACCAACATAGTGAAACCCCGGCTTTACTAAAAATACAAAATTAGCCAGGCATGGTAGTTCATGCCTGTAATCCCAGCTACTTAGGAGGCTGAGGCAGAAGAATTGCTTGAACCTGGGAGTCAGAGATTGCGTTGAGCTGAGATCATGCCATTGCACTCTAGCCTGGGCAGCAAGACTGAAACTCCATCTCAGGAAAAACAACAAAAGAAAAAAAAAAAAAGAAGAAGAAGGAAAGAGAGCTCAATCTGACCTCCTTTATTATTAGAATACTCCAAAAGGAATTTTTGTCCACCTGCTCTTTCTTCAAATAGAATGGCTACTGCATATCATTTTACAGACAGATTTTATTAGTTCTTACTGATGACCTAAAGTTCGCTTCTAACCTTTTCTCATTTTCCCAACTGTTCTCTCAGGTGATGACTGAAAAAGGGGAGCTGTTCCACTATTTGTACCATCATCTTCACCAAAATAAAAATTTCTTTTTATGATGTTTGGAGACACTCTTCATGATTGTTTCAGTGGACACTCCTTTGCAGATCTAAAAAATTGAGAAAACTCATTTTTGGAAAGTGTCCGATAGAGTTATCATTGAAGTGAATTTTAAGTAGGCACGATGATTATGTTCATGGTTGCTGTTGGACCGTATCTCAGGAGCTGGAATGACAGACATTATTGAACAAAGAAAGCAGCATAGTGGAATTAAAAAGGCTGAACTCAGTGCTTTCATAAATATGAAGTGCGTAATTTTCACTAATCACAGGGTAAATATAAAACTGATTTATTAAATTCACAGGACATAGTAATTGTGTGAAATACAGTATTTTTACTTAAATGCTTTTTGTCTGTTTCTACCCCCCAGTCTATTATTTTATAAACTAGTTGATGCATAAGCGGTGTTTTGGCGGTGATATATTACATTTTCGATGTAGTAAACATGTATATGTATGTGTGTGGGTGTGCATTATCTAACTACTTAGTTGGACTTATTCGTATGATTTGGAATTTCTGGGGCCAAGTTTATGCAAAAATCTATATTTTTGAGTAAACTTACCATGACTAGAGTAAGTTTCCCCAGTATTTGCAAATTCTTCATTTCCTAAAGCTGTACAAACAGCAGATAATCAATATTTGTAAGGATCGATAATGTAATTTATAATGATATTATTTTCTCAGCTGTTATGTTAACTGTATCATCATAGCTTTTAACTCATTTGTGCTATTCCATTTTCCTCTGTTACTTTTATTTTCACTTCTCTTGTAATGTTAGTCTAGTCTCTTTGTACTGATATCTAAAGAGTTCATTTATGATTAACGATGTTAATTTTTTGTCTAGAATTGCAAGTATGTTTTTCTCATTCATTTTACTGTGGTGGTTTATTTTTTGGTTACACAGAAGTCGTATATTGAAATATGAAATATAATCTTGTTTTATGGCTTTGGAGTTTTGTGGGTTTTTTTTTAACATGTTTAAGTTAGTATCATTTATTTGTATTGCTTTCTGTTTCATCAGTTATTTTGTCATTTCTTTCTCCATTAGTCATCGTTCTGGTGTTAATGAGTGCATTAAATACTCACTTTGACTGGTGTAGTTGTCTCTGAAGCTCTACCATAATCATGAAGAAAATTTCCACGTAACGATTGGCTACATTTCTGTTAACTTGCCTTACTTACCATCTTATTGACACTTTAATAATTGCTTATGATTTATACTGTCTCATCTATTCCATTGAGCTTTCATTTCTCTTCTTTTCCAGAATATTCTCTGTCTATACTTGCATTTTTTTCTGTCCTTTGATGCTTACAATTATTTTTGCAAGTTGGAAAAAAATGCAGTATTTCATTTGCAGCAAATTTAATAGATTAATTAGGAAAGAATAGATGCCTTTAAAATTGAGTCTTCTATCCAACTGCAAGGTAGGTCTTTCTATTTTTAATGGAATAATAATTTGGGGATATAACTAGTGCAGTTTTTTTTTAAGTATTTTTTAAATACTAGACATTTTTTAGGTATTTGTTAATTGAGTGATTTGGATCACTTATTCAGCTTACCTAATTGATAAGTGAAAACGTTTTTTGTATGTCTTTTCTAGTAGTCTTTCACTGAATTTCTAAAATTAGGACTTTGTTTAGCAATTTGTCTTTTTAATTATCTTGATAAAGTACATTAGTAAGTACTTCTAGGATATATGAAAGTAGAAAGTACACTTGGCAATTGAACTGTTAATTGCAGTTCCCTTAGATCATGGTTGTTGAATCTCTTATTTCATAGGGGGCTTAAAAAGCCGTAAAGAAAGATATATAGACTGAATGTACAGCTAAAGCATTAAATTTTAAAAATCAATTAAAATCAGTTGTTAATTACAAATATTTAAAAAGATAATGAGGTGGTACATGTCAAAGGAATTCAGCCTTAAAAATGCCAAAAATAACACTTCATGAAAATTGGAAAATTTAAAAATAATTACAGCCATTTTTAAGTTAAAATGTAAAACATCACCATGTTATCTTTAATTATGTATCTTACACATACCAAAGATTTCAGTCGTCTTTTGTGATGTCACAACTTTTTCATATTTGTCATTTTATTTTTACTGCACTTAATGTTACATTAATAAAACTCATAGGGGGCTTAAAAAGCCATAAAAAAAGGTATATAAACTAAATATACAGCTAAGGCATTAAGTTTAAAAATTCAAATAATATTGACTGTTACGTTAATTACAAATATTTAAAAAGATAATGAGACGGTACATGTCGAAGGAATGCAGCCTTCAAATAAAAATGCCAAAAATAACACATTCATGAAAATTGGAAAATTTAAAAATATTTACAACCATTTTTGAAGCGAAAACATAAAAAATCACCAAGTTATCTATAATTATATATCTTACACATACCAAGTATATACCAAAATACATAAAGTACTTAGCCATGTAAAAGGGTTCTTAGATTTGCTGATAAGAATAATGACAATTGAAAATACAACTAAGATATAATTAATTTCTGTACTAAGATATAATTAATTTCTCTACATGACCAACATGGAGAAACCGCGTCTCTACTAAAAATACTTTGCAATAACTGGTTGCTTGGAACTAAAACTATTTTAGTTTTAACTAAAAATTGTTAAGTGTTTTCCTTTCATCTTTTACCCATCTCCACTGTGTGTGTGTGTGTGTGTGTGTAAAGGGTAAAGATTCTGAGCTGGAACTGTGTATCACTCCTCAGTTTTCATGAGGTAGTGACGATATAACATGCACGAACAGTGAGCAACTAAGAAATCTGCAAGCATGTTCGTAGTAGTATTCATTGATAATCATTTTTGAGGTGAGTAATAACAATGCCATTTCTATGTTTTTTTCTCCTCTACGTGCCATGTCTGTTGTTTATTTGTCTGGTAATCTTTAAAGCCACACTTTCACTTTAACATGAGAGATTGAAGTATTATTGAAGAAGCTGATGATAGCCCAGGGCCTTAAATAAATGTCTTGTTTTTTGTGTTCAATATACTTATTTGTGGGAGTGTATACATATTCCGGGGTGTTCTAGTTCCACAGCGACAACCTAGATGGTACAGAAATATTTTGTTCATTCTATATTATGAGTCAATTTATAATTTGATCTACAGCTAGACATTTTGATTGTCACTTGTGAGCAAAAAATAGGAAGACTTTGTAAAGATTGGGAATTGAGAAGGTGACTTGATTAGGTATCACAGACTTCTAATGTTCTGGAACAGAAGACCTGTAAGTTGATCCAATTACGTGAGAAATAGAAAGTGTAATAAAGTTATCTGCGATCATGGGGGAAATTGTTACCCAAATGGATAAGGAACTATATTCATCTCTCATGGTCTGTAACAGCATGAAGAATTTAAAATTAATTACTACAGACATTACAGAATTACAGAAATTCAGAAAATGAATTTCTCTAATTTTGATGGTATTACTGATGATAAAATTGTAGAAGCAAGAAGAAACAGAAAGACTGATAGTTTTATTAATGTAACAAGTGAAGTAAGAATGAAATGACAAAGTTGAAAAAGTTGTGACATCACTTAAGAAGACTAAAACCTTTGGTATGTTTAAGATATATAATTAAAAATACCAGTTAATAGAATGCAGTCCCCAACTACCACAAATTATGCAGTCAAGTTTCCCACATATGGGGGGGGAAACTACCAGTTCATAGGAATACTGACATGAACACATAGTTCAGTGTTGTTAACCGTATAAAGTGATTCTTAGATTTGGTTATAAGAATAATGACAGTTGAAAAATACAACTAAGATATAATTAATTTCTCTACTATTAGATTAGCAAAAGTTCAGAAGTTTGACAGCATTTTTTCAGCAACACATAGGGAAAATCCAATGTTGCTGCTCATTGCATAAAATATAAAACATTTGGGTAGGAATTTGATATTTTGTAAATGTCTATCTGTGCAAATCCATAATGCATCTCCTAACGACATGTAGCAGTAAGAAGGATTGATGGATGTTTGTATACCACTATGAGATAATTTCCTGGATATGATTTATGAATAGGGGAGAGGTAGTCTATAGGAAGTAAAAATAGCAATATGGTGTTGGCATCCCTGTAACATAACCATGTTTGTTTATGATGCCCTGGCTGGTAACTGAAATTGTACTGGGGTTTCAGCAGAACTTTGTCATAATGGGATGATGCATGAGCTAATGAGTTGTGGAATACATGGCTCTTCATTGTGGAATAAGTTATAAGTAAAACAATGAAAGGGATTTTGCAATATCTTAGGAAGAACAGACGTTCTTGATAAAGTTCCTTGTATATGAAAATAGTATTTTAAAATATTTGGAATAGTGAGTGAAGAAGCTTTCTCTGTGAGAGGAGCATCAGTTCTAAATATATCCCAGTCTCATCCCTTCCTGTTACTTCCTTCAAAAGGACTTGAGGTAGCTCCTGAAGTATTTGGTCAAGATGGTAAACTCCTGAGGTGTAGGCCAGGCCTCTCTTCCGCCTCCCGAGTTTAAGTGATTCTCCTGCCTCAGTCTCCCGAGTATAGGATTAGATGCGTGCACCACCATGTCTAGCTAATTTTTGTTTTTCAGTTGAGTTAGGATTGGCCAGGTGAGTCTCAAGCTCCTGACCACAGAAGATCCGCCCACCTCAGCCTCCCAGAGTGCTGGGATTACAGGCGTGAGCCATTGTTCCCGATCTCAGTGAAATTTTCTTTCTATTATCTGATTATGTGGATTTAATAACTAGTGGATGAAATTATGTGGGACTGGTGATTTAGACTAAAGCCCAGAAGGACAAATACAATAATCTAATACAATTTCAGATACAATAATGGATGCATGCAAAATTGGGTGTATTAAATAAGAAATGGATGGAAGGTAGAATATGAGCAGATGGCTGGATGCAAGAACGGAGAATGCAAGTTTTAAAAACCATTGGTTGTAAATATGGATATCTGCAACAGTGGAATCCTTTAGTGAAGATGCAGATGGTTATATGCCTAGGTGTTAGAATTGGCATGGATTGAAAATGGAATGGTATATGCATAAATCTTCAGATTGATGAATACAAGTATGGTTAGCTAGAATCTTCAATAAATGTAGGGATCAAGATATGGATACATTGTGTGGGTGTGGTAGCTGCATGTTTGATGGTTTTAGAGTGGCTTAATAGGTTGATTCACAAGGCGATGGTGCAGGAATTTGATGACTATGACAATGGGCTGATGAAATAATAGAGTCATATGTAAAGTTGATGAGAAAGATGGACATTTGAAAGATGATGGTATATTTTCATGGGCAAATTTATTAGAAAATTATAAAAGATTTGTTTTTGCATTCTTAACATGGTAGTAAATAAGCAGAAACCACAGTGAGTTCACAAATTATTTTAATCAATGATCTTTCAACATTTTAATAATTTGGGGACTTTTGGAGGTTCAGGAATGAGAAAACTTTACCTTCTGTACATTAACTGGTCATATGTCACAATTTTCCCATATTTTTCACAGTTATAGCTGAGGTGGTACCAGTTAAAGAAGTGAGAACTTCTTCACTGACTGAAATTTGCATATCAATCCAAATGATTGTGCTTGTTTACTATTTTTGTAGACTTCATTCTTCAAAAGTGCTGGTAAGAATCAGTAACCCTGGTCTACTGTTTATATTTGACCAGTTTGATATGAATCTAATTTGTAATATTTTAAAATCCAAAACCACACATGAATTCCATAAAACACAAGGTTGTGAATTTGTGGAATGATTATCAGGTGAAATAAGAGATAAAAGGGCTCTTAAATTTTGTTGCAGTTTTGACATGCAGTATATGCAGGTTTTGATTTAGTACTCTTACCTGCTGTCAACATAGTATGTGATGTTATCTGGACTGAGACTTTTAACTTTTTACCCATATACTCAGTAAATTTTATATTATCTCAGTAAATTTTGCTGAATAAATGCTTTGGAATAAATTCATCAGCTACAGGGAGATAAGGGAATCTGACAGCTAGTGGGTGAATAAGGAAAACGGATGAGCTATTAAAAGATGAGTCCTTGGGAATCAGAATTCGCTGTAAATATTATGGGTTATAATGAGAGTAGAGCATCAGGTTTAGTTGTAGTTTCAAATGCATGATTTAGGATATCATCAGTGAGTAGGTAAGACGTGCCAATAGGAGTTAAGAGATATTTCAGCATTGAAGTGGCTAAGGTAGTGTCTTAACACCCTTTTATTTGATGAGTGAATGAGAAATCTGCAAATATTTTCCAACATTCCTGTTTTTTTTTTCACAAGCATCTTTCATAATCAAGGAGGACAAAGACCTTTCTTGCAGGTAAAATCATTAAGAACTATATTCTGATTTTGAAACTGTTCTCTTTGCTATGTTGATGATATATTAGATTCTTGAGTTATTTGAAATTAAATTTTTCAGAAAACTTATTTTGTGGTTATGTGATTATTTTGAGTTGATATTTTAATTAAAGACTGTATTGTAAACTTGCTAATAAGCAACATTTGACAAAATCAGGCATTTTCTTGATGTTGGTACCACTAGAAATTGTACAAGAAGCATACAGGAAAGCAAGGAGAATTGATGTGTGGATAATGGGAGTTGGTTTATTGAAAGATCTTAATACAGTACTGTGGAATACGTGGAGTATCTCATTCGTATTTCCTTATATTCTGTATTTAAAAAAAATTCTTAACCCCTCAACTAGTATATAAATCAGAATAAAGAAACTACACAGGAAGTGCTGGTTCAAAGAATGAATAGGTGGTTGGTTCAGATGAAAATAATTTGGAATAGGCGTTAGGTATTTAAATCACAAGAAAAAAGTGTCCAGAGGAAGGAAGGAAAATGGCAGCTTGGTCATTTGCATACAGTAAATATACCTGGATTTGGAGGGTTTGGATTATTCCACATCAGATTGTAGGAGTTTAGTTTTATAGAGCGTTACTTGACTTGATGATATTTTTTTTCACTAGGCATGGCTGTGTCATAACTTGTTTCTTTGCGTTTGCAGTCTCTTCTTCTGTACTCAGGTGGTGACCATGTGGATAATAGGATTATAGACAAATGGTTCTATCTGCAGCATCACCCCAATGCTGTTGTTATTGCTTCTTTCTGGGATCTTCTTGCACCTTTGCTTCTCACGGGGCACAACTTTTAAAAGTACGTCCAGGAATAGAAGTGACCTGCTTTTTGGCAAGTAATTGCCTGGAATGTTGTTATGTACTTCTCTGTGCTCTCAATATATTTCATGTTTCCCTCTGTTTTTGTATATTAACTCATTGTATTTCATTGTGTTTTTTAAATTTATATTTTACTTTATGAATGGAAGTAAGGTTTGTATATGGTAGTATAATTAATTCAACCCCATGGACACGTTAATCATTGTCCAGATGATAGCAAGTCTTTCTCAGAAGCAGAGGGCCTTGGTGTGCCAGTGATTCCCCCCCCCCCATTTGTAAGATACTTTTTTCCTCATTTGAATCAGGAGCCCACAGTTTTTGGACAAGTCTTAAATGAGATTTTAAACATTATCTGGACTAGATCTTCCGTAGTATCCTTTTTGTTAGACCTAGTATATCTCATTCTCGATCAAGATCTGAGATTGACTGTAGTTCACCTCTTACCAAGTACACAAACTTGGATGACATAACAACTCGGAGTGTAATGGAGAGGGAGATCCTTACACTGCCATTTTGAGCCATTGTGATACCATCTTTTAGAACGTGGTACAATCATTTTCTTGGTATTACCAGTATTGTTTGGGGTTGGAATAAAAATCTCACTGTACCAAAGAGATTTTCTTTTTATCCACATTACCTTGGTTTTCCTTTGCTTCTGTTTAACCTAAGTGGGCTTAATGTAAATAGTGTTTATTTGGTGTTGTAATTGTCTACCTCTGTAACATACGCTGTGCTATCCATTGGGGAACTGCTCACTGTATTGCCAAACCTGTCTCAACAGGTTTATACAAGGGAGGCATCCAATAATGTTATTACCTCTCTATACCAGAGTAAGAAATAACAAACAATTGCTAGAATTTTAAGACTATATAATCAATCCCATTGATGTCAGTTAATCCTACCAACAGAAGATTTAACGGTTTGAAAATCTCATGTGTACAGCCATCATTGTACACCAAAATCATATTATATTATTTTGTATGCCAAAGTACAAGTATGCCAAAACCGTACTATATTATTTTGTTCATTGCCCGCTAGATCTTGAGGTAGAACTTGAGTTCCTTTTTGCAATACTCATGTATTTTACTTGCACAGAAGATGCTTTTGTACTTCCAAAGCTAACTTACCATAATATTTCTTGTGTTAATATTTTTCAAGTTCATAATGCTGTTCTGGATGTAAGAAGATCAGTGTCCTAATCAGGCACCTTTACATTATATGAAACACGATACAAAGTTTTATAGTCTGTATAACAATATACAGAGGTCAGCAAACTTTGTGAAAGAGCAGACTGTGTAATCCCCATACTGTTGCAACTACTCAAAATCGCCATTATAATGTGAAATCAGCTATAACCAATTCATAAACAAATGGATATGGCTGTGTTTTAGAAAAACTTATTTACAAAAACTTGTTAGACCAGATTTGGTCTATGGGATGCAGTTTTCTAACCTCTGGCTTATAGCAGAAGTTTATTTTGATCCTGGGTAATGTGGATATACATGTAAAGCAGAAGCGGGAAAATGTATTCTATCCCATGTCATTTTTCTGAATACTCAACATATGAAGTTAAATTAAAACATGGGGCAGAGTCTACTTTAAGCCTTTGAATTCTTGGCTCTTAAAGCCAGGCTGAGGGTTTTGTGTTTTTATTCTTTCATATCTCCTTTTCGCTTAGCCTTGGCACCAAGTTTATTGAAACAGGGCCACCAAGAATGAGTAAGTCACTCAGTGATATAAAGCAAGCTGTTTATCTACCATCTTCCAGTCCTACTTCCTAGATTTGATAAGAGTTAACCATTTGTAGTATAGTTATTAGTAACTTTTCTAAACTTATATAACTTTACATGGAATTCATTTCCAAATGTGTGATTATTATGATGTTATTTTGTAAATTTCAAGTTTCTTTAATATAGCATGGACATGTTTCCAAATCAAATATCGCTTACCCACAGATTTTTTTATTTGATGTAAAGTATATATTACAGTGGGTGAATCCATTTCTCTGTTTTGGGAAAGCAGGTTAATTTTTTGTTTATTTGTTTTGTTGACACATATAATGTTGCATTAAAATATACTACTTGTACAGGATAGCTGTCTAGGTGTTACATTGTTGGGTCATCACTTTTGTTTCAGTTAGATGCTATGAAACTGCTCTTAAAAGTGGTGTCCTCTGCTATCACAGAGCAGTGTTGTAATGGAAATGACAATTTTCATAAAAACTTGTGTACAACGGGTATTAAGAATTCCTTAGGCTGGGCGCAGTACCTCACGCCTATAATCCCAATGCTTTGGGAGGCGAAGGAGGCTGGGTCACCTGAGATCAGGAGTTCCAGACCATCCTGACCAATATGGTGAAACCCCATCTCCTCTATATACAAAAAAATTAACTGGGCGTGGTGGTGTATGCCTGTAATCCCAACTACTTGGGAGGCTGAAGCAGGAGAATCACTTAAACCCAGGAGTTACAGGTTGCAGTGAGCTGAGATTATGCCATTGCACTCCATCCTGGGCAACAAGAGCGAAACTCGATCTCAAAAGAAAAGACTTATTTAAAGTTTTAGCTAATCTAATAGGTGAAAATGGTATTTTGACGTAAGTCTAATTTTAAAAGTTAATGGCCATGGGTAAAGGAGAAGCAAATAGTGAGGCATAATTTGTAAGATAAGGTAGTACTCCATTTTTTCTCTGCTCCCCCCACAAATCTCATTTACCCAAGCTAGAAATTGTTAGTATTTTCTAAATTCAGTGCTTCTTGGAGGTTCATAAACCCCCTATGCATACCATATACCAGCATTTTCCTGACTTTGTCTTGTTGAAATAATTTTAGATTCAGAGTTACAAGAATCACATGGAGCAACCTGATGTACACTTCACCCAGATTGGCTTTTTATTCTGAGTTGTTGTGTTTTCTCCTAATAACTCTTCTGGCTCTCTCCTCCCTCCACATGTTTATACATAGCATTATCATTTTATGAACTATTTGTGAGTGCGTTGCCGACATTATCTTCCTTTAATCCAAAACACTTCAGCATTTACTTTCTAAGAGCCTGAGCATCTTATATTGACTTCGGTAAGTCATGAAATGTCTTACTAGTATGAAAGTGTAACAGTATACAGTCCATATTCACATTTTACTCATTTTTTCCAGAGATGTTCTTTATAGCAGTTTTTCCCCTTCTACAGCATCCCGAAAAGGACCTGTTGTTGCATTCAGGTGTCATGTTTCTTTAGACTTGTTTAATCTGAAACAGCTTGCCAGACTTTGATCACATCAGTGTTCTTAAAAAGTTAATAGTTTTTAAGGAGATACCTCAGATTTTGAATTTTGTGTTTCGTCATGAAAAGTTTTAAGATACTCATTCTGGGCATAAATACTTAAGTATTTTCAGTGTTCTTCAGTGAATCGTATCAGGTGACAAATGTCACTTTGTCCACTTTGAACCACTTTGGTCTCTTGGTTCAGTTGGTGTCCACTGGAGTTTTCTACTTTAGTTAACAGTCCTTTGTAATTAATTTGTAACTGAACTGATATTTCATTTTTCATTCAACTTTCACATAGTAGTTTTAGTACTCACAGATGACTTTTACCTGAATCAGTGATGATTTTAAAAAACTGTGTTCTTGCTTATATGCATTATTTAGTGTCTTGTACTGTAAGAAAGAGTTTGTATATCATGGCCTGTCAGAACAGTCCAGCAGTGTGTTTTATCAACTGAAAAATCTGAAAGAAAGAATAAGGTGTGGTGATCTATATGAAAAGACAGAGAGGTCTTCCAGTGGGAGCAGAGAAACATAGGCCAAGGAAAGACAAGGAGAAGATTGTAGCCTTTTATTCTTCCTTACATTTGTTGAGGTTCACTGCTGTTGCAAAGTCCTGGGATTTGGTGGTGTCTTTTGAAATCCTTGCCAGTTCTACTTGATAAAGTATTGAATGATTACATATGAGGTAAGAGGAGGACTGAATCAAGAATTCTTACCATTTAGACCCCAACGACTGCTAGGGAGGGTTGGTTTTTTAAAAAAATCCATTTTGTAAGTTTTAGATCCTTATTAAAGTCACAGATTAAGATTTTTATGTTTAAAGTAGGAAACTTGAGGGGAATTTGGAGAGAGAGAGAATACTTAATGGCTATGGGAAAGGATGAGATCTAGAGATAGAATGTATTTGGGAGTAGGACATGTCTGAGACCATGCTTTGGATGCTCTAGCATTTAGATACTGAGAAAATGAGGAAGACGCGTTAAAGGAGGTTGTGGCTGGAGTCACTAGGTGAAAACCAAAGGGTTATAGTGTTCCTGAAGATACATGAAGAATGAGATTAAAAATTAATGAGGTGGCAGTGGCTTTTTCATGCCATGAAAGACACAGTTCAGTCTGGAAATTGAATGTCATTGATTGTAGTGCTGTTATTATTGAAAAGGCCATATCAAAGAATAACCTTTGAGTTAATGGTCTCTACTATAATTAGGTTACCACTGTTAGCCCAGCACAGACAGATGCTGATATCTGTGAGTTGCTTTCATCAATGAATGTGTGAATCCAGTTTCAGGATTTTAGATCCTCTTCATCATTCCACGTATGTACAAGATACTTGATGTTTTCATTACATCCTTTCAGTCTTCTAACAGCAGTCCTTAATGTAGCTTTACCATTGGAGTTTCCACTTGTAGTGTCGCTATCTGTACTTGTATTCATTTGCCAAGGTAGAGTATTCATTAAGGCAGGATTGCATTTCAGATACTCTGGCCTGTGTCAGACATTTAGCAAAGATTGTTGAGGAAAGGAATGGATGAAGGGGTCAGCTGAAAGAAAAAGTAACAACCTGATGATGGGTAAGAGGAAAAGGAATGAAGAAAGGATGGTGCTAGGAATCAAGGGAGTAAGCAAGATAGTATGTATGGAAGGTAGAATTTTTAAAGAAAGTTGTAGGGTAAAGGCAAGGTGTGTTGAATCTACACTTAAAGTACAGTAACATCACCAAAGTCAAAGCCGGGCACAGTGGCTCGCCCCTGTAATCCCCACACTTAGGGAGGCCAAGGTGGGCAGATCACCTGAGGGCAGGAGTTTGAGACCATCCTGGCCAACGTGGTGAAACAACATCTCTATTAAAAATACAAAAATTAGGTGAGCAGGGTGGCGGGCACCTGTAATCCCAGCTACTCAAGAGGCTGAGGCAAGAGAATCCCTTGAAACTGGGAGGCGGAGGTTGCAGTGAGCTATCATGCCACTGCCCTCGAGCCTGGGCAACAAGAGAAAAACTCCATCTCAAAAAAAGAAAAAAAACAGAAACCAAAAAAAACCCATCACTAATGTCAGGGAGAAAGTACGACTGTGGAGGATGTTCTTTTCCAGCTTAATCTGAAGAAGGTACTGACAGGATCCTTGTACAGTGTCATTCCGTAACTAATGGGTTAGGTGTGAGTCTGTAGAAAATTGTTTGTCCAAAGTAATTTATGTCTCTTAACATTTCACTTACCAAATTTCGTTTTATTCGTTCATTTTGTGTCTAACAGACTATAAATAATGAGCTCCTATTGACAGGGACATTTTCCTCTTAATACTTAGCTTTCTTTGACCTGACAGAGCCTTGCATGTAGCAGATACTTAATTTAATAATGGGTTGTCTAAAATGGATGAGTGAAATTCTGATGAATGAGCCCGTCACCTGACGTGTGAGTAAAACAAGAATTTATAGAGATGCAATATGAGGTAGTTGCTCCACACCTTTTTGAGACTGTTAATGGCATGTCTGAGGAAATCATAGATTCTGTAGACTATGTTGAGTTGAATTGTATAAGTATACATCCTACTATTAATGAACTCAGCATTTGCTATATTAGACTTTCTATGGCGAAAGTCTTTTGGGGGTTGGTTGTAAATCCCCGTTGATAGTTGTGGAGTAATAGAATATAGCTCCTGCTTTCTTTCCTGCTTGTATGGCCTGTGCCATTAATGTCCTCTTTTTCACTATTTTCTGAAATGAAAACAGTCAAAGAGGAAGCCATATGCATGATGGACTTTGTAATCTGGGAAAAGTCAACATATTTCATAGTAGTGCTCTTTGTGTGTGTTGTCAGTTCTTAAGTAGGATTCATTTTCTCCATATTACATACTGCTCTATTTAAAAGGTTTCATGAAGAATGGCTGTAGACAGGCCAATGATAGAATGGTAGAATATAGTCAGTGTCTAATTAGACTTTTAATCACGAGTGAATAAATACAATCTATGTAGCTGACTTCAGGGTGACCACTCAGTGTTTCTGTAATGACAGTATTTATATTATTGTACAGTAATACTTATTTCTGTGATCCAATTCATTTGTTTACTATTGGAATTCAAGGATTGTTTAAGAAATGTCTACTATTAATAACAGATGGGAACAGCATATGTGTTTTAATAAGAGACCGAGAGAGACAATAAGGAAAACAAGAAGAAAGTGTTTGTGAACCTTTCACACTACTCCTAAGTTCGGGAAGTCCACAAGACACAGTAGTGGAGATTCTGAGGAGGTGAAAACCTGTAGAGAAATGCTTTATCAGTAAGGCGCTAACCAAGTTGTTAGAAAGTGTTGATTTCTAGAAGGATATTGAGACATTAGGCGTATAGTCTTTCATTCTGGCTTCTTACCAGCTGTTGTGAATGAGTTTGAGGCTTTTTCTGCCATTATAAACTTTGGAAAAGGTGTTGCTGGTTGTTCCATTTGAAGTAGTAGTATATCCACCAAAGCCTTGTTAAACCATCTTGTGGATTCATGGTTCTCTTCAGTGATATATGGGATTCCTACCCACAGTCACCCAATATCACAGTGAAGTGCAGGTTTGGAGAGAACATCTGAATAGATTCATGCTAAGATGGTACATTTGCACTGAGACCATTGATTCATGGAAGGCAGACATGAAGTATCCTAGGATTGATCAATATGCCTTAATGTAAATAGCTGCATGTAGACCTGTTTCCTAGGCTCCCCACTTGAAGCTCTCGCAATGTGTTTATATTGTTATCAACACACTTTATGTTTTGTATTATGTGTTATTTTCCCAAAATAAATATAATGAGCTCCTACTTGACAGGGATCTTTTCTTTCTATTGCCCTTTGATAAAATGTCAAAGAGTTTTGTTAAAGTTTGTTGAATAAAATTTGTGATGGAATGGGTGAGAGGTCATGAATTAGAGAATATAGAAATAATAGCAAATGTGATTTTCTGATAGTCACGCAGTATTATATTCTTTTTGATATAATATGTAACATGTTGCTACGTTATATTTAATGTATTATTTAATATTACTATATCCTGTTGCTATATTTGTATAATTTGGGAATCTACCATAATTGACGATGTTGAAAAGAACATAAAATGTAGTCATTTCTTAATAAGGTATAGAGATGTATGTGTGATCTCTTTAAGAATATAGTGATTTATTTTAAAATGAATGATAGGAAAGGACCATAAAAATGTCTGAATTTGGGAAATTAGAAAAGGTTTTCTTTCTTGAGCTTTCCTGTGTCTGTTCTATGTGAATGTTGTGTAATTCTCACTTTGCCACAGCTCCCTCTTTGCTGACCCTTCTTACCCCTGCAGAGAAGGAAGAGGGTCACCACTGATGATGATACTTTGAGTGCATCTTCAGGTTTATTGGGAATGCAAGGGAAATAAGGTCTTAGCAATGGCAGTAAAGGGCTAGTTGCTTTGTCAGTTGCTACTACTTTTGTTTGACACTGCTTGAGAAATCTGAATGACTAGTTTCAAATCTGGATTCTCAGTCAGAATTTTTTTTTTTTTTTTGAGACAGAGTCTCACTCTTATCACCAGGCTAGAGTGCAGTGGCATGATCTCGGGTCACTGTGACCTCTGCCTCCCAGGTTCGAGCCATTCCCCTGCCTCGGCCTCTGGAGTAGCTTGGACTACAGGCATGCACCACCGTGCCCGTGGTTTTTTTTTTTTTTTCCTCTCTTTTGTATTTTAGTAGAGATGTGTTTCCACCATGTTGGCCAGGATGGTGTCAGCCTCCTGTCAGTCAGAATTTTACCTTTATTCTAACGTTTTTTTCAAATCACTTACATTTATGTAAATTTGGTTCATTCTTTCCTGAAGATCCAAGTTTCTTTCCATCTACCTGAAGAACTTTTCTTTAGCACTTCTGGTATAGCAGGACTGCTGATAATAATTTTTCTTAGTATATGGTGATTATTTTTTATTCAACTGTGTCTTTTTTTTAAGTTCTCTTCATTGAAATGTGTACTAAATATAGAATTAGTGGGGGGGTTTTTTTTAGCACTTCAAAGATAATCCACTGTTTTCTGGACTCCATTGATATTTAAATCTTTATTTTTATGTAATTTTTCTCTTTATGTAAACGTGCCATTTTTCTCTGACTCCTAAGATATTCCTAAGTATTGAGCCAGTTTTGATTATGATGTGACTCTGTGTGTGTGTGTTTTTTTTTTTTTTATATTTCTTGGTTGGTTGAGCTTCTTGAGTCTGTACATGTTTTATGTTAAATTTGGGGGAATTTTAGCCATTTAAAATATAGCTTTTCAGACTCTTTCCCCAGGACTCCAATTTTTACATATGTATATGTATTAGACCTATTAATACTGTTCTGTGGATTCCTGACATTCTTTTTAAATCTTATTTTTTGTGTTTTTCACTTTGAACAATCTAGTTATTTGTTCCCATCCTTGTTAACTCACTGTTCTCTTGTTTCCAATCTGCTCTTAAGCCCATCCTGTAATTTTTTTTATTTTTTAGTTCCAGAGATTGATTGATTTTTTTTTTTTTAAGACAGACTCTTTCTCTGTCACACAAGGTGGAGTGCAGTGGTATGATAATAGTTCACTGCAGCCGCGACCTCCTGGTCTCAAGTGATCCTCTCACCTTAGCCTACCCACTCCTGTAGTTCTACCTGTAGCTGGCACTACAGGTACATGCCATCTCACTCTGCTAGTTTTTATTTTTGTAGAGATGGGGTGGTCTTGTTGCCCAAGTTCTTCTTGAATTCCCAGGCTCAAGCAATCTTCCTGCCTCAGCCTCATGAGCCAACATGCCCCCCCATCTGGTTATTTTTCTTTCTTTTTAAATATTATGTTGTATTTGATGTGCTTTCCATTTTCTATTAGCATATTTTTCTTCAACATTATGATAATGCTTTTTCAGAATTTTAACCTCAGGACTGCTTCCAGGTTAGCTTTATTGCCCTTTGTCTTAAGTATGGGTTACAGTTTTCTTTCATTGCATGTCAAGTTATTTTGGATTGTAACTGGAACTTTGAATATATTGTAGAAACTCTGTATTCTATTTTGTTCCTCTAAAACAATATTTCTCAGCTTCAGCACTATTGACATTTTGAACTGGGTTATTTTGTTTGTATTGTTGTGTGTGTTTTGCTTTTTGTTGTGTGCGTTTTGGGAGGGTGCTGTTCTATATGCATTGTGGGGTGCTGAGTATTATCCTTTGTCTCCACTTACTACTTACGAGTAGCACAACTTCTCCTCCTCTCACCTCCCCTGCCAAAATGCCTTCAGCCCTTTTTAAGTGCTGTTTTTTATGGTGTTGGGGCCAAAATCACCCATCCTTACTCACTCTTTCTCATTGAGAGCTATGAGTATAAAGGGTAGCCATGCATTTATCTATTTATTTTTAAGGCAAGCAGTTAACCTGGCTGGATTCACACTGCAGCCTGCTCCATCTGCTTTGGGAAGCAGCCTGCACTCTGTTCAGTTCTTTTCTTTTCACATTGTTTGTGCTATTTGGAGTCTGGCCTACATGATGGGCAGTTTACGGGTCAACCAAAGATTTCAGCAGAATTTATACACAGAATTTCATTCAGGCTTCCCCTGTCTGATTCTCCACTCTGTGGGAATTTCCTCCCACTTTCCAGCTGCTATTGAGGATGCCCTTAGGCAAAATTTCATGACATTGGAAACTTAACTAGGGATATTCCTTTCTTCCAAGAGTACACTCACCTCCAGTGTTGACTTGCTTTGGTTGTTCTCCATTGTTGTAGATAGCTGTCTTTATATTCATTCTGGAGTTTACAGATGATATCCGTTGCGGGCTTAGTTTGGTAGCAGGTACTCCTTTATTACTAGTAGCCAGACTTGTATGTCTTACCTGACCTGATGTGGAAAAGTTTCAACTTACGAGAATGTGCTAGCTAGTTTTACTGATTCATGCACTCTAACGTACCCAAACCAAATAGTGTAGCTCTCTATCCTATATGAATCTTCTCTGATTTTCACTGTTTTAATCAAAAGTATACACGTTGAGATTTCTATAGGTTGTGTTTTTAAGCATCACAGTTCTTATAAACTAATAATTTCTAAGCTCTACTTGCTTTGCATTTCGCCTACCAAGAGTTTTGTATTTGTGTGGGAATAATCTCTTTGTATGAATATCTTTTTCCATTCATGCAAAACAGAGCATCAATTTCTCTAAGCATTATGCTCTAGTTTGCCTTGGTATTATTGGAAATGCCTCGTGATTAATTTGGGCTCTTCTCCACCCTCATTCCCAACATTATTGCCAGCTTTTACCACTTCCAAGGGATGGAAATGTTTTCCACCAAGCACTTATTCATGCCAGTGAAAATCTAGAAAAAATGAATAAAACTAGGAAATTCTTCTTGGTATCTGTAGCTAACTTACCTAAGTGTTCTTTCCCACAGGTCAGGTTTTCAGTCCATAGATATAAAGGGGAGTAGTGACCTCTGGTACTTTATTTAATTAATTGAAAACATTATTTGGGTCAAAACATAGACTTATGTTTTGTGAATTGTGCTGTGTTGTAGACCCTTGAAGTGAGTTCCTCTAACATAGAATTGATCTAGCTCTTGAAATACCATTTTTCATTGAATATAAATAGGATATAGGCACCTTACAACTTCTGAATTTGAGGAAGATGATGTTAATCTTCCAATTTTATCCATTTAATTTGGATGGTATATTTTTTCACATTTCTTGTAACTTCCACATGTCAACTCCCATGACAATCATGCAGGAAAGGGGCATGATTGTACTTCTTTTAGTGCATATCATCACTGCAACATGGTTACTGTCTTTATGTGGCCTTTAGAAAAATTCAGAAATGGCATACCAAGCATATTTATTTTATATATAAGCTAAATAAGCCCATGTGGAACAGTAAATGTTCTATTCTGAGAAATACCTTGATTGCTGTCTTAAAGGCTAATGTTACTGGTAGTTTTCAAACTCGCAATTCTGCTTCCATCTAAATTTGTCTTATCGTTAAATAATCTATCAGTCCATTTTTGTCTATCAATCATCTATCTCTCTGTCTTTATCAGTCATTCACCTGTAATCTATCTGTGCTGTTTGGCATAAGAGACAGAAGGGTATAGCAGTGGAAACCCAAAGGAGTTCCCTCCATGTGAATGGACGGTAGTGATGGTGATCTGTGAGGTGGTGAAGTATAGAAAGAACACCTGGAAGAGAACATGCCCTAACTCAGGGACCTTGTCTGTCAGGCACTCTGGCCTTGTTACACTGTGCTTACATATGAAAAATGAAATCAAAATAGTGCTGACATTCTGCATCACCTGGGTCTGAGAAAACTTAAGAGTAGGTATGATGACTCTGCCACTTCAGTCTTTTGTATTTCTATAGTTTTGAGCTCAATTACAAGTCTGTAGGATTATTTCCCCAACCTGTGTTAAACTAGACCATGGATTGGCAAACTTTTTCTGTAAAGAACCACAAACACATTTCCAGTTCTGAAAGCCTTGTGGTCTTTGTTGAAGCTAATCTATTCTGCTGTTGTATTATGAAAGCCGCCATATAATTGAATGAGTATGCTGTGCCTTTCTCCCAATAAAATTTTACAAAAGCAGCCTGTGGGCTGGAATTTATCCTTCACGAAACCAGAGCATCAGGTTAACTGGAACCTGAACAATCACATCAACTCAGCCACATGGTAATAATGTTTAGAGTATTATTTCAACATTTTCATTTTTATAAAAAAATTTTTAGCTTCTTTGCCAAATTCCATTTGTGATTGATATAAATGACTACCACGTGCCATTAACATCATCTAAACAGTATAAAACAAGTACAAGAGAAGGATTCAAATGATATGAGCCCCTTGCTATAAGAGTTATAGTTGATAAATTATATTTCAAAATTGAACTTATTTCTTCCAAATTTCATGTATAAGGAATTTGTTTCCAAAATCTTGCCTCCCTTCTTTTCCCATTTAGCAATATGGTCTCAGTGGTCATGGTGGTATCCATCCTCCTTGGACCATGAATTTAGCCTGTTTTGACTTCCTCTGAACAGTTGTAGTGGTTTCACCATATCAGAGTAACATTACTACACGATAAAGCTATTCTTTTAAGTCAGCTTGTAAAAACTTGATAGTGTCAACAATATGCATAGCAAATGAATACCATCTTTAGTCCAAATAAATTGTTTTTACAAATTTAGTCTTGATGCTGTCTGCCTTGCAGGAATTAAAGATAAGATTAAAAGAATAAATAATCTGCTAAGTTGAAATTAAGTTTGGGTAATTTATTGCAGTAATGGATGTATTTTCCTCAAAACATATGACAAATTTAGTGTTGAAAGGCTCACTCAAATCATTTGGGAAAACACATAAATGAACAATTCTTAAAAATACTGCAAATGGCCAAGAGCATAGAAAGTATGCTCAACTTATCAGTCGTTATAATGAAATGATGAAATTTGTATATATTTAAAATGCATACTTAAAATATATGAAACAAAACAATTATTTGCCTCTTTTCACCTATCAGATTAACAGGTAGAAGTGTTAACAAAGTGAGGAGAATTTGGAACTCCTGATGTGTTAAAATCTTTCAGGAAGGTAGTACAAAATATATATAAGATGAAAATCAGCACATTTTGACCAACAATTTTAGTTTGAGGTATTTATCTATAAGGATATAATAGGAAGTGTTCAACAATGCATGTAAACTTAAGGGTAGTCAATGTAGTGTTAATTATAATTGTAAAATAGTAAATAACCTTTTGTCAAATCATAATGCTAGGAAAATTAGTGATGGCACATTTTACTAATTGGATTATGTTGAGTTATTAATTCGGTGATGCATGTTCAAATTAATTGATGTGAAAATCCAACACCTTCAGCAATTTATTTACCAGTTACTGAGTACCAACTATGTTTAACATTGTATTTTGTTCATGTGAAATGACATGTATGTGCTTGTTATGATATGGTCAATAAACCAGTTTTATAGGAAGAATACTCACAAAACACAGCGAGTCCTGGGCATTATTTTATTGTTGAATTTGTGTGTGTGTGTGTGTGTGTGTGTGTGTGTGTGTGTGTGTGTGTGTGT